GTTCACTGACCAAGATAGAAAACATGCAGTGATGGAGGAAGAGTTGTAATAGTTTGGTCATGTTAGAAAGAGAAGACTGCTGGGCCTACTTTCCATTCCAACACTCAATTTGTGCTACAACATCATGACGAGTTGGTGATGAAGCAACTGAGGTAGAGTATGGAAATTTAGTTAATTTTAATAAAGTCAGATGCTTAAGTTATGGACGTATACTGAAGACATCAAACACTTTTAGGAATCAAAGGACTCTGACATTAATGTGTATTCCCATCCCTCATGCCTCACAAGATTTACTTTCTTTCCCTTTCTTTCTTTGTTCTTCCTTCCTTCCTTCCCTCCGTATTTCCCTCCTCTCCTCTCTTCTCCCTTTCCCCCTTCCTCGCTTTTACTCACTACATAGTTTAGGGGCTGGCCTCGAACTCACTGTGATCCTCCTGCCTTGGCCTCTCGGGTGCTGAGATTACAGGCATGTGCCACCATACCTCTTTCTTTTGTAGTAATGGGGAGTGAACCCAGTGCCTCACACACGTGAAGCAAGGGTTCTAAACTGAGCTACAACCCCAGCCAAACTTGTACTTTCTTAATGATATAGTAAGTATCTAAACATAAAATCACTGGAAAACTTAAAAAGCACTGGATTAGTTTAAGGGAATGTATGATAGTTTAAGGAAATTATTATTATTATTATTATTAGGTTTTTTTGAGACAGGGTCTCACTATGTAGTGCAGGGTGGCCTCAAAATTGCAGCAATCCTCCTTCCCCAGCCTCCTGAGCACTGGGATTACAGGTGTGCACCATCACATCTGACCATTTAAGGAAATCTGTGAATTTAATGTAATGGGAGTATATGTGGACAGAGACTAATTCTATATTCCGATGCTGAGCCATCCCAAGCTTAATGGAATCACAGATTTGTAGAATTGTGAAGTTACTTAAAAGAAATAATATAATAAGAATTTTACTTTAGCAATATTATAAATATTAATAATATTTTGTTTCCGTGTCTATATCTAAAGTATAAATTTCATGGCATAGCTACGCTAAGAAGTATTTGCTCTATTAAGGAAGAAAGACTATTTGCTTTAAGGAAGTTTGTTGAATGGTCGGTCTATGTGCTAAACTACTGAGATTTTTTAGAATTCAAAGTAGCTGTAGATTTTTATCAGAATGTATTAGTCTAGTTCCACTAAATATAAATTCTGTTCTGTTCTATAGTTCAGAAACCAAATACTTCTGTAATTTCCATAATATATATATGCAAATTTAGGGCTATCAGTGAACTTAAGTTTACTTTTCTAGTTTTGTACAGTTATGTCTTTGTTGATCCTATACCTAGCAGTAAGCTTTCACAAACTATGTTAGATCAAGTTCCAAGTTATTTGTCTCATATTTTTAGCAAACTGCTTATTCAGTAAACTTACTCAGTGTCTATCAAAGTAGCACATTAACAAGAAGACATTAATAAGCTCAAAGAAGAAAATATTACCAAAGGCAACATAAGATCACTACAGTTTTGAGACCTATGCTGCATATATATTCTGGGACAATTCTTGACTCTACTCAGCTTTAAGAGGCCAACTATCCTTTATGACATTTATTCATAAGAATAAGATGGACTGTTAAACTGCTATGCCTATATGTGCCAAGCATTTGGTATAAGTTATCTCCAATTGTAATGAGCCTGTAAAGTCAGAATTCCTCTTTCTACAATTTTGAAAATACAGGTTAGAGAATTTAAACAACTTAGTAAGAATCACAAGAGAAGTAGCACATGGAGAATTAAATATTTGTTTAAAGCTGTTGCTTTTTTATTTTTATTTTACATCTAAAGATTCATCTTTATCAGTTGTATAGTTGGCATTTAAATGAAAATAAATTCATCTTATATAGGGAATCTGGGAGATAAAGGAAATAAAATGGTACTTTATTCTAAACATTTACTTACCATATATAACCTATTATATGTGTACATTTATTATAGATAATAGGTTTGCTAAACTTGTCGTGGATGGGAAATTAATTACAAAGGTATATTTATGAATCTCTGTATTTTTGTTATATTAAGATTTTGGACCTGAAGTAGATGTTTTTTGTTTTTTTTTAATAACTCTGTTACTTTAGGTAAGAACCTTTAAGTAGTAAAATGTAAAAGTTCGCTGTAAATTTTCATGAGTTTGGTGCTTTCAAAATTATGGCCGTGGTTCAACATTTTATTGTGACTGACAGTATAATGCTGCTATAATAAAAATTTCTTGTCAATGTGTTCTCCCCTGAAATGCCTGAAGCACTTTGGTTTAAGTGTCAGGCTAAATTATTAGATGTAGAGAAGAAATGAATCCACATAGCACCTTTTTTTTTTTTTTTTTTGTACCGGAGATGGAACTCAGGTCCTTGCGCTTGGCAAGGCAGGCAGTGGAACCACTGATCTGAATCCCTAGCCCTATGGTACCATTTTTTATTGCAAAGGGCACAGAATGGTGCTAAGAATGTGGGGGATAGAGGTCTCTTTTCATAATTATGTAAGGATGGTTGTTTGAAATGCTTTAATGATGCCATCTGTTTTTTTGTATTAAAGCTCTCCTGTAAATAATTCTCACTTTGCCAGATAAGTAAAATTTAGAGCTCTGTGAATTTTCAATTAGCCAAATATATTTCTTTTGGGTACTAAGTTTGAGTTACCCAAGTTAATATGAGGCTGGTCCAAATGTGACATCACTTATCTAAATGATATCCATCTTTAAAATTAATTTTTATAAGACTCATATTATTTTTCCCCCTCAAAGTTTTGTTTCTTTTCATCCAAAAATGTACTTTCCTTCAAAGCCAAATGCTGCATTTGTGCCTTTCTTGTCGCGTCCTTCACAATATTGCTTTGAAAATTAAACTTGTCTCACAGTACTGCTTTCTTATTCTCCTCCTTCCTCTCAATTTAGTTTCAATCTTAGAAACAAAACCAAATAAAAACCTTTCCCAATCTCCTTCTCCATCCTTCTTGTCTTCTGTTAACTTTTTAGAATGATAGTCTCTAGATAGATTCCTTCAATTCTCAATATTTAACAACTGAGCTATCTTTAATACCTTATGGCATTCTTAAAAATAATGACTTCTTATACATTGTGTCTTCTGATCTTTTTTTTTTTTTGAAATACAATGCAGGGTATTTTATCCTTAATGCCTCCCTCTTCTTTAATTTTGATGATATTTCTGTATCTCTTGGTTTTTCTAGCACTATTTTTTCTAACACTAGTGCTATGTACACTGCTGTTTCCCTAGGGCATCACTTTCTTTTACCTTCTGACCTACAGATACTATTAGTACTTTTAGCATTAAATGGTTCTCAACACTTGCTATCCATAAGAATAACTGTGGCATTTAAAAAATGTTATTATTTCAGCTCAAACACAGTTCCACTGAATCAGACACTTCAACAGTAGAAGGCAGGAGGGTGTACTTTTTTGGGGGGCAGGCGTACCAGGGGTCGAACTCGGAACCTTGCGCTTGCAAGGCACGGGGCGGAACCACTGAGCTAAATCCCCGGCCCACGAGATTATCTTTCTGAACAACCTCTCAATGGCATGTGTATACTTTATAAGTCTATAACATTTGTTAAGACTCTCCTTACTCAAGAAGGGGCTGCCTGTGCTCAAATTATCTCCCACCTTCTATCACTGCCAAATTATCAGTATGAGGAACAGTTCTGCTCTGGACACTCCTCTCCTCAAGACCTAATTACCCTTGGGTTTCAAACCCAAATTGAAATTCTCCAGCTCAGCATTAAAGGTCCTGTGAAATTTGGGTAGAATCTTTGCAATCTAGTTTTTTTTTAATTATATGATAAGAGTGTAGACTTTGATGTCAGACATGCAGTACTTGAGTTTGAATAATGTTTAACCTTGGCAAGTAATATGAATCCTGTAAATCTAGTTTGTTTATAAGAAAGAAAGATAATATTGCTTCCATCTGAAAAGGTTATCTGGACAATTACACATTGATTCACCTCATATTTTGTGTGGAAGAACTTGTTATCACTGACTGAAAACAACAGTTCTCAAATTTCAATACATATCATTATCAAAAGGTACACTTCTTAAAAATGAATGCCTGGCCTCCACCTTTACTTGTTAGGTCTATGTAGGGCTGTAGATCCACTGTCCAATATGGTAATCAATAGCAACACTATAAATATCAGATACATACCAGATCTCAGGGACTATCAAAAGAATAATGCTAAATACTTCATTAATAATCTTTTAAATTGAGGATTTGCTAGAATATTTTAGATATATTGGCCTAAATAAAATATATTATTTATGTTAATTTTATCAAGTGTACTTTAAATTTTGAGCCATCAAATTCACTAAATTCATTAGAGGGCCAGGGATTTAGCTCAGTGGTTCTGCCCCCTGTCTTGCAAGCATAAGGTTCTGAGTTTGATCGCTGGTACCAAAACAAACAAACAAACAAACAAACAAAAAAACCCCAAAAAATTCATTAGAAGATTTGCTTTTGTCTCTGTTTTTTCAGTTACTAAAGAATTATTTTTTAATTACATTTCAGGACTGGAATAAAAACCTTAAAACTACAGCTTAGATTTGTTCCCAAATCAACAGAATAGTTTGCTTTCTTGAAGAATTAGGGTTTTTCCTTATGGTTATTCAACTTCATGTGGAAATACACTATTTGCTTAGATTTGAAAATCACTGAATATCACTCATTGAATATCATCATAATAATTTTTATGCCATAGTAATTTAATCAGATGAGGAAAAAAGGAGATATATCTGAGAAAGTGGGGGTCTCAGGCATGAATGATAAGGATGGTTGAAGAAGAGATAGAAAAGTAATGTTTACTGAAGCCAATGTGGAGATGCAGAATGTTGACTGAGACGATGCTGATAAGGTAAACAGTCAGAATTAGAAATAAATTTTAAAGACTATTGAGTAATAATTTTCAGTAATAATATTGAGTAATTAATATTGAGTATGATTTTTTACTTACCTCATTGCCACATTGCTGCCATCAATGACTATTGGTCTCAAATTTTCACCATCATCTGTTACAATCTCTTGCATTGGAGATTCAGATCTCTGAGATTCCAGAGAAGATGTTTCCCGCATTACACTGGTAATTGTACTAACCGTTTGATCAGTTTCACTTTTATTTCCAAGTTTGACAAGTTCTCCCAAAATATCATTGATTAAAGCATCGGTACCAAGTTTGTTTAGCACAAGCTGAACCTGTTCTTCAGAATAACCTAACTTAAGTGCAAATTCCAGCTTTGTTTGGTATTCTCGCACCACATCAGGGGGTTTCTTGACTTCCTTGGATGGAGTCTGGGACTCTTCAGGTTTAATGTTTTGCAAAATTTCACTACGTCTGAGTAGTTGAGGCTCTAAGCAGGGAGACCTACATAATTGTCTGTGAGTCTTGGTTAACAAGCATGGCTCTACTGAAATGCTACTCAATTGTTCTGACTCATGATCAGAATTTGTGCTTTCTTCAGAATCACCAGAGCTCAGATTCTCTTCAGACACCTCTTTTTCCTCCTTTGTGATATGAACTGCATCCATTGCTGGTTTTTCTACCATTGGCCAAGGTACAGCTGCACTTAATTGTGGGTCAGTGCTCTCCACACAAAGGTGGCTGAGGTCATGCCCCAGGTGATCCTTCAAGCCCATGAAGCTGTTACATGTACTTGACTCCACTTTGTTGTTTTTTCTGTATTCCTGAATGCAAAGTACCCCGTATTCCTAGAGAAAAATGTAAAATATTTAAACGTTTATACTTGTGTTTGATTTGTCTCAATATATAAATCTGAAGAAAATTGCCAAACTACCAAATACCTACTGTGTATTTTTGTCTAAATCTACTCATCACTAGCCAAAACCATATTGTGGTTTCCTTTTTCTTTTCTTTTTTTCAAATGAAGAAGTTGCAAATTAGAAAGACCATGTAACTAATTCTTTCAAGACAATACAGTTAATAAGTAGTGAAAGTAGACTTTACTTAGTTGTGTCTAACTCAGAAATCCATGCCTCTTCCACTCTGCCATACTGCTGTTCAACCTTGAGGGAAGAGATTTTCCAGCTTAAATTTCTAGAATGACACATGGAACATTATAAAAAAGCATGTTTTAAATATGTCATGACAAGTTATGTACATTTTCCCTAAGAGAGTACATAAAAATCTTTAAAAATTATTTTAAAGGGAAGGGAAAGGGGATGCAGAAAGGAATTAAGATGTGTTATGTACGTGTACCAACTTCCCACGAGGAATATAAACATGTACTACACACATGTACTAATAAACTAAAATACAAAAGACTACAAAAATATTTTTAAAGAGAAAATTACAAAGAGAAAAATTATTAATTCAGATGAAGCTTAACAATCTAAATTAGTTTCAAAACAATTTAGATACTGAAAGAATATATATTCTAAAATGGCCAACAAGTAATAAGTAATTACAAAGTTAATTGTATCCCAGAGATGAATATAGTTTTGTCCTAATAATTATGATTTTACTAATATTGAATATGCTAACTGAATACTATGCTATCCTTATTAAATAGCAAGGACGGTATAGTCTATTTGGTCTGAGAAAAATAATTTCTTTAAACCACGGAGAAATTATATATTTCACATAAAATTAGCAGTAATAATTAAGCATATTAAATAATATTATCTCAGTTTTTTGAGCTCTGTGACAGTAAATACTTCTTCAGGTTAATTAACAGTTAACTTGCATTTCATTAAAATTCATCTTTTCTCCTATAGGACCATTTTTACTGTTTAAAATGCTTTAGCTAGGGCCCGGCCGGGATTTGGCTCAGTGGTACCGCTGCCTGCCTGCTGCCTGCTTCGCAAGCGCAAGGTCTGGAGTTCGATCCCCAGTACCGAAAAAAAAATCTTTAGCTGTTTTACTATTTTTTCTTAAAGCCTATTGGAAATAATAGTTTTAAAGTTATTTTTTCATGTGCTTCATTCCAAGGATGATAAAAACATCAGTGGTTTAGTGATTTAGGGGATTCCAGTGTTCTACTCTGGCATAATAGCAAGCCAGTGCTAGCAGAATTTGAGACTGTTATAAAACACCTATTAAAATAACTTAATAAATACAACTGGGAAAACACTTTATTCTAAAACCCTTCAACATAATACATGCACTAGAAAAGAGCTATTTATAAATATTAAAAGAGAATGCTAAGTGATTTCTGAAAAGTCACAAATTTGAAAGCATACTGATCTGCTTATTAGAGTCAAGTATTTCTAAATAATGAAATAAATTTTATTAACTATGGTAAATACTAGAGAAGACAACATGGACTCTTTATTGATACCTTATTGAAGAACCACATATTTGTATAGGAATTTCTTTATGGTTTATTCTTTGAGAAGATGAATGTTTTAATAATATTGTTCTTCTAATAAAGCATTCCTTAGTTTTAAAGAAACATCAAACTTTCCTAGTTCCTGATTGTTTCCCTGATAAAAGGAAATATCCCTTAAAGTATACATCTGCTCCATTATGAAGCTGCATTCATTTCAATTTTTTTCCATTAATATGGATATGCAGGAGTTCAATTATTTAGAATAAAGATTTTGAAAGCAAATCCTTACACCCTCTGATTTATTAACTACTGTAATATACTAACACCATAATGCAAGTAACAACTCACAACAGCATCCTAATAAAAGGATACAGTTAAAAGAAAAATCTACACTGTGGCCTTCGTAGAGCTCCCACCAAAAGTATCTTAAACAAGGAAAACCTATTGGAAACTGGGCTGCCTGGCAACCAGAAGCTGGTTGCTAAGCTGCACTCCTTTAACATGCCATCATGAATGCTAGCACAGTGAAAGAATAATTTGGTATGAACAAAAGCCTACAAAAGACACTGGGACTTAAGTGCGTCTGGTTTACCCTCCGAGAACAATGCAGCTGCCAAACTAATCTGGAAGCTCCGACATCATTGTTCTGTAAACCCCACAATCTGCTCTGACTGCAGGAAGTGCATTTAATGGGCAACATGTCTGATCTCCCCTGAAAAGTTTGGGTTTTGCATAAGTGCCGTTGTGAGATAATTCTCCAAGATAATGACTTGCTGACCAAAACCCTGAATTGAACTAGGAAATATTATTTTAATATTGAGCTATAGTGTGTATTTTTAAGGGAGAGGAGATTGTATCAGATAAGATGAATACTTATGAAAAATACAGTTAGTAAGGAACATTAGAATGAAATATTTTGTTTAAAGGATAAATGAATTTTCTTAATTTTCCATTTTTCAAAGAAATAAGACCAGATACTATAAAGTTTTTAAATGGAAAATTAACCACAGAAAAACGTATTTCAATCTTTCTATTTCAACATCAAGCTAATATTTTAATGATAACCAGTGGTACTACCTAAATCCGTTCTACTATATATTTATTATATGGCTATAAGATAAGGAAAAAATTGGATTATCATTTAGTTATTTTTATAATATTAAATACTAAGACTATTTTGTATCCAAATATAGCTAGTGAACATCAGATACTTTTAACTTATAATAATTCATGTAATTTGTACATACTATAATAAAAATTTTATAACAAGCTGATATTTAATGCTAAGGATAAATGTTAAGTTGGCCTATTTTTAAAAAGTAACATTCAGTTTTGTTAGGGAACATAATTTTCATTTAAAAATATTCTGGTTGAACTCTTTCACAATGACAGGCCTGTTTTCACTGGTTAGTTCAGAGAAAGTTATCTATCTAATGACATCTTGTACTAAACAAGCAATTACATGACTTTTCATACCTGTAAAGCACAAGACTAAATATTACTACAAATAAGAAAAAAATGAGTTTACTCTTCAGAGAGGAATACATATATATAATATATATATCTCATAAATATAAGTCTCACTTATGTATCACATAAATTTGAAATAACCTAATTTGTATTGACACAAATGGCAAAGATTTAGTTTTTAAAACTTCTATCTCTAGAATGCTTATCAACTTGTAATTAGTAAAAGGTTGCCCTGATTTCCAGTCCACTTAAAAATAATCTAGAATTTGGCAATATCTTTTGTTTCCCATTAAGTTCATTGGTATATTTTAGGTAAACAATATAGTTACATTCATCACTGGGATCTTGCACCTTTATATGATACATCTTGGTTCTTATTTTTTCCCCCTTCCCTTGCCCTCCCTTAACCCCCCCCACCCTTCCCTATTTACAAAGACTTTATTTCTGTTTTTTTCCTTTTCTCATATTTTTTATTTTCCCTTCTTTCCTTTCCCCTACCCCTCCCACTTCCCTTACCCCTTTAGACCTTTTCTTCCTATTTAACAATATCAATTATACATTTTGATCCTTATCTATACTTTTTGGCAATATCTTAAAAAACATTCAGTAAAACATTAAATGCTAGTCTAAAATTTTTTAAACTGATACACATATTTTCATAAACTACAGTATTTGTTAATGTAACTGAATGTGTAAAACTTACAAGTAATTATTATAAGAAACTTTAGCATAAAGAAGGGCATATGATCTTTATTTTTCTTTAGTACCTTAAAAATAATCAATATTCAGCACTCCAGAGGCTGAGGCAGGAGGACTGCCATGAATTTGAGGCCAGCTTGGACTATACAGTGAGTTCAAGGCCAGCCTGGCCTGCATAGCGAGACCCTGTCTCAAAAAAAACAAAAAACAAAAAAACCCCAATATAACTTTGAAAAAGAGAAAAATAATCCTTCAATAACATCGCAAAATGTGTTATTATATGTAGGGTACAAAATTCTTCTAATTTCTAAGACATGCATCGCTTAGACTTTTAAGTTTTGAATTAACTCAAATGCGCACTTAAATAAATCACCTTAATCAAATAAATAGTAACAAAGGTAAGTATCCTCACTTCATGAAGAAGTAGCATAGTCAAAAAGTTTCACACGAAAATAGGTCAGTTTTTACTCCCATAGCTATCATAAAACTTTAAGAAATACAGCCTATCTTTTTTTTGTACCGGGGATTGAACTCAGGACCTTATACTTGGGAGGCAGGCGCAGTGCCACTGAGCTAAATCCCCAGCCCTACAGCCTATCTTTTACTTTTTAGATCAGGGATCCTTCATAATAGGTTTTACATACTTACTGTATTTTTGAATATAAAAGGTACTGGTCAAAAAACCAATAATATAAAACAGATTTCAATAATTTTAAATCTATAGATTTCCTCCAGATACTGCATTGGAAACTCAATGTTTCTTGTTAAAAGCTATCTAACAATTATAGTATTTGTTGAAAAGAACTAAATTATGCTAATTCTGTAAATGACAATGAAGTGTAACTAATTCTTTTAAATGCCAAAAAACTTTGTAATAGCTGCAGGCAAACTCATGCCATAGTGGCAATTTACTAGAAATGTATTACACATACCGAAATTCCTCCATTTAATGAAGAAGTTTTCTGAAAGTTCTCAAACAATTCTTCATCTCAAACTAGGTAAAATGATTTTTTAAAAATATTTGAATGAGGTTCCTATTAATCAGGAATATTAGACCATAAACTTGTTAAACCAATTTATTTGTTTGTAATGTAAACTACAATGCCATAAAAGTGGGTTCTGGTTGTTATCCAAATAGTAATACTATGAGAACAATAAAAATAAAATAATGAATATGTAATAAATACCTACTGCTGTAGTCTCTGTGTATTTAATTACCATTGTACTTGAGTGAGTGCTGTTGTCTACCTC